CTGTTCAATAAAAACATTGTGGTATGTTCTCATCCACCTCATTCACCAGATCTGGTACCCTGTGACATAACAATCATCACCAAAGTCAACAGAACCATGAAAGGCAAGTGTTTTGAATGGATCAGGACATCGAGGCAGCAACTGAAGAAACTTACCAAAAAGGGCTTCCTGAACCACTTCAGAAAGTGGCAAGAACAATGGGATACGTGTGTTCGAAGACATTATTTTGAGGGGGATTAATGGCAATGTGTCTTTTATGCTAATTTTTTAAAACATTTACTGTATTTTTTGATCACACCTCATATATATTCATATATATAAAGGCTTATATTCTTTCTGCGCCTTTTTATTTGAATGTGATTTTAAGAATTAAGGATTTTAGATGTTTAAGTTAACAGTCACATTTTTATTTTTTAACTTTATTTTAATTATTTTTTGAATGTGATTTACTCATTTTTTCTTATTTACAATTTTAACTCTATTGTACTTTTATTATTACTGATTGTATATATTGTTACTATTTATTTATTTATTATTTATTGTATTATTGATTGTACTTTTATTCTTATTGTCGATTTTAAGCTTTGTAAGCTATACTGAGACATTGCTGTGAAGAACGGGATAGAAATGTTTTAAATAGATAAATAAATAAAAAATTAACCAAACAATAAAGTGAAAAAAGCACTGAAAATGTACACACTAAACAGATGTTGCATTTATGTTGCAACTACATTTTTTCACTTCACTTGCAGTTCAAACATAGAAACATTGTTCGATCTTTGGAGCAATTTTATCTCAACTCTAACATTTGAACTCTGGATCATTTGAAGTTAGAGTCATTTGAACTACGAGGCACCACTGTACAGGAACATTTATGTAACCAATTGTATAAATTGTTTTTGTTGCCTTAACTTGCATGCCCAAAAACTAATATTGTGTACCATCACTGTGCTGAGCATCTTGTCTACATCAAATGGTGCCACTGCCAGTTGCATCCATTTGAATTCCAGATTGTATCCTAGCAAAATGTGGCATAGGAAAAGCAAATACTTCTGCGAGGCACTGTGGACTTGCAAGTTTGGGGAATGTGAACTGGGATGAATTTTATCCTTCGGGGTATCTGAAGGGCCACTTCTCTCAGTATTTATCAGTCGGCACATGAAGAGGCACATAGACTCAGTGGTGGAGTCTGTGCCTTACAAGCAAAAGGTCCCAGGTCTGACCACAGCATCCCCAATAGGGATGGACAAACTCCTGTCTGCAGCCCCGAAGAACCATTGCCAGTCAGCCTTAACAATAACAGGCTCGATGGACTGATGGCTTGGTCCCATCTAAGGCCATTTCTGTGGTCCCAGGGTCAGCAGTGAAGGGCCTGCTTCCCCTGCCCTGCCATCCGAGGCAAGACAGGAGGCCCCCAGAAAGGGGTTTTCTTGGTGATGGTGCCCCAGTTTTGGAAGGGTCTTCCAAGAAAGTTTGTCTGGTGCCTCTCATAGCCATTCTGAGGTCAGGAGAAACCCTTTTTGTTCGTCCAAGCTTTAGATGTAAATTGAATCCTGCTGTCCGTGTTATGAAACTTTTATCATTTGTGGCTACCAAGGGCTTTTTCCCCCTTTGGTATTTACTTTTTCATTGTTTTTTGTAAAGTGCCCTAGGAATAGAATAAGATGGAGGTATAATAGTGCATATTTATAATAGGAAGGTTTGGAGAATTGGGGACAAGGGAGAGGGCCTTTTTGGTGGTGCATCCAATTATGGAACACTCCCTGCAGGTGAGGTCTGCCCGGTGCCAGCACAGCCTTCCTTTTAGCACTAGGAAAAGAGTTCCCTGTATTGTCAGGTATTTGAAAGCAAGAGAATGTTTTAATATGTCCTTAGATGTCTATTGTTGATTTTGAAAACACAATGATCTTTGCATTTAAATGTTTTATATTGTGTTTTATATAGTACCTTTTTAGGTTTTAACCTCTTGTAAACTGCCCAGAGATCTTTGGCTTTTGGGTAGTATAGAAATGTTGTTCTTGTTGAGGACTCTGTATTGAGACCAATGGCTCATCATGGCTTCGAGGGTGGGGGGGTTGGGAAATCTCCCAATGCCAAGGGAAAGTGCCTCTGGAAGCAGGAAAGGGACCCAAACACTGCAGAGGTAGATGATGAAGGACAATCAAAGAAAATCCAGACATTTTTAAAACTCCAGAGCTGTCATTTTAAAATGCCTCTTGTGTCAAACCAATCTGACATGCTCCTGGAGATCTCAGGTCCACGAGAAAGCCATTAATTCACCTAGAAGGACATTTATGGATATTATTACCATCTAGTTAGGGCTGTCAAGACAAATTGACTGCATGGCTTCTATTTGAGTGCCTGGCAAGCATGGCAGGAACATGATAAAAAAAACAAAAATGGAGTGAGATATAAATCTAGTGAGTGTGAGAACTGATTAGGGATGCATCCAGAGAGATAATCACACTGAATTGTAAATGAGATTTTCACAGCTCAAACATCAAAGCAATTAAATTATTAGCACCCCTAAGGCATCTTTCATAAATTAATTTCCCAATTAGAATTTTGTATAAATAGTATTCCTTCCCTGGACATCCTTCAGAAAGTGGGGGTGGGATGGGGAGCTAGTGAGTGAGCGAGCCAAGACCGTACCTTGGATTCCTCCTGCAGAAGGCTGAGTGATACAGCTGGTCTCATGAGGGCACAGCTCTTGATGCTAATTCTGGACCAGGTGCTGACTGCTGCCTTAATTAATAACTCTACTTTTATGCTGTGAATTCCTTGCTGGGCAAGGGCAGGACAACCCTAATTGCTTGTGTGAGTGTCACAGGCCTGATATGTTACGGGTACACAAATGGTACTGGGCAAAGAAGCTTGGAGATCCGCCATCCCTAAACCGGAGTCTGCAGATGTCATACACCAAAGTGCTCAGCATTCTTGGCCATTGGACTTGCTGGCTAGAGCTGATGGGAGCCAAAGTCCAAACATCTGGAAGGAACTAGGCCATGCCAGTTCCATGTTTTGGAGGGCTTTTGGGCGAGGCTCTCTCCATAGGTGCTCTCTCTCAGTGTGTGTATCTTCCTTCTCACCTTCTCACTGGTGTTGCCTCCAGCTGTTCTTCCTCCTCCTCCTCTCTCTCATCACTGCTTCCACTGACTGGCTTGACAGCCAGAGAGCCAGAGAGAGAACTGCTTACTCATCAACAGTCTCTGGCAGGAGCTTGAACCAGGGAGGACTCTTAAGCCAGAGCTTCACCTCATTCTAGTATCCCCTTGGAGAACAGAGTTTTAAGTGTAAAAAAGAAAAGAAAAACACAGTCATGTGAAAAAAAGAAAAGTCTAAAAAAAGAAAAGACAAACACAGTCATGTGAATAAGCCATGCAGGGCCTGGAAAAGCCGAAACCAAAAAGAAAGCAGAGTCCTCTCAGGATGGGTGGTACAATGTTCTGCACTCAGTTCAGAGCCAGGGAAACAAATCTCACTTTGCAGCAATGAACACACCTACTCCCATTTCATTGTTTATCTCCATCCACTGGATTGCTTGCTCCAGAGAGGTCCACAGGAACCTCTGAGTACGCAACCTGATTCTGTGGTTGAGGCACTTTTCTCCACCCGCTGCTAATATCAAAAGTACATTGAGTAGGAAAAAAAGAAAGGGCTTTCTCAGTGCAACCTCGGATGGCCCAGGATGCTAGTTGCTCTTTGCTGGCCTTTATCAGATGATAACAATTTTTCTGTTCAGGCAGAGTTCTTGACCTGCTGGGTGAAGCTTTCTTCTCTCCTGAGATGAGGTTTCATTGAGCCATTATAGTAGTTTATATACCATAAACAAACACACTTTGTGTTGGGCTGGCTGCTGTTTTATGGTCTTTCTGGTTCATTGTTTATCTGTATTACTGTCTGGCCATTTTCTTATTTTAAACTACTTTGGTTTCTTTAAGAAGATAAAATGTGATACTGTTTTCTTAACAAACCAACATATTTATATCTTTTTGCAATGGATGAATCATTACTAGTCTGTCTCAGTTTCTCAGGGATTTATTGAAAATCCCGTTCCATTCTATTTCCACATTAAATTGTGGTTGTTCTTGTTGCTGGTTTTTAATTTGTATGAAAATTCCTGTTTGGATACAATGCATTTTAATGTGCTTCCTAAATATTTATTGCTAACTGTATTTTCCTAAATGTTTTTGGACATCTGCAAATAGCTGTTAGTGCCTCCCTCTGAGGCACACATGGGACACCCAGCAAGGTGCTTCTGCTTCTGCCAGTTCTCTGGAGCCCTGCAGCTTCTGTTGGGCATGGTGTGGGTCCCACCAATCCTGGTGTGCCAGTGAGACTTGTTCCTTGGCAATCTTTACAGCTTGCTCTCTGCCCCATTTTATAGCAGAAGTGAGAGTGCCCTATTTCCCTCACATGTCTGTCTGTCTGTCTGTCTGTCTGTCTGTCTGTCTGTCTCAGTCTCAAAATAAGAAAGGGATTTTATGGGGGAAATTATTTACTGGTCAGGGCAAAGTTATTCCAGTTCATGGAAGGTTTTTTCAGCCCTCCTAAGTGAAGGCTGCATCCCACGTGTGTACACATGAATGTGTTTATGAATATGCAACTTTATTATCTTTGAGAGTAGAAGTGTGTGCAGTATATGAGAACGGATGCATGAGAATGGCTGTGTGCTATCTGCCTGTGAATTAATGAATGGTACCAAGGCTGTTGACATGATCACAGAGGGGGAAATAAGCCGTGGTGGTTTGCTTCCTTTGCTAGGCAAGTGGTACGGAGATTGGCACTGGCAGGCTTGCTGTGTTGCACAAACGGACAACTGGCGTGTTGCCACGTTTGACCAGCTAGCACAGAGCATGACAAAGCCCATGAGCTCTGGTGGCTTACTTGTATGTCCGTCCATGTACTGTTTGTATCTGTATTGGGTGACATTTGCAGAGAAGCAGTATATACATGTGAGGAAGGAATAAATGAGAATAATGCATGAAAAAGGAACTTACCGCGGAGGGGAGTCAGGATGTGTGAGATTGACCCGGGATAGCGTCTCCATGGACGGGCTGAAGTAGAACGATGGAGGGGGCTCCTCAGTACAACTCGATCTGCGTTCTCCAACTGAGCCTCCAGAGGAGAAGCAGTCTGGAGCTGGGAGCAAGCAGCAAGGAGCAGCCCTGTTACACCTCAGCGGGCATTTAATTTATATATTTACAACATTATTGATTTGATGTATTACATCTGTATGCCACCCCATAGCCCATAAGGCTCTCTGGGCAGCTTTCCAAGAAGTATTGGTGTGCACTGCTGTCAGGCCCTATGAAAAGGGCCCCTCAGAGTGTCTGATGCAAGTACAAGGATAAAGAGCAAGCAAAATTGTGGTGTACCATCACTGCCTTGGCAGGATCAGCCCTGAACTGTGTAAGAAATCAGAGGAAAATAACTCACTGCTAATCCCAGTACTGATGAAGCTCCAGGGAAGTCAGTACAGCCAGTCCCTGAGTTACAAATGTCCAAGTTATGAACAACTCCTACTTACAAATGAACTGCTATACAGCCTATTAATTTTTAAAAATTACTGTGGACAATTCTGATCACCCCAGAGAGAGAGGAAGTGAGAGGGAGAGAGGGAGGGCCTCCAAAGCCCCCTTTCCTGCCCTGTCCATCCAGAGAGGGAAATCTCTGACATTTCCTTGATGTAAGGAAATGAGTTGGGCTAGATTTATTTATGGTTTTTCCACTTTCATGGGGGTCCAGCGCCCCTAACCCCTGTGAATGTGGAGGGCTGACTATATGTGATCCAGCTTACATACCAATTCAACTTAAAGATGAATTTCCTTTATCTCAGGGACAGAACTCAACCAATCCTCCACACCAGCATTCTCTTCAAGTAGGGGATCACCTTGGGGTCTTGCGAGGGTTTTTAGCTGGTAGTTCCTCATCCATTGCAGCTTTTCTTTGCATGTTTAGAGGATGGTGCTCCATGGTGGTGTTCCTATTTTGGGAACGGACCTCAGAGTCCTATAACACTCAAAAGAAAAGCTACACTGGATGAGGACCTAGAAATCACTAGCCTCCCCTGCTAAAAACCCTCCCAAGACTCCAAGATGTGGTGATTCCCCCACCTGAAGAACTTGCAGGTTTAGAGAATTGATTACATGTTGACTGGCTTCATCCTCTCATGCCAGACTCACAAGGCTTCAAGGAAGGAGGCAGCAGTATGGAAAGCCAGTGCTAGAGAGACATTCTGAGCAAGGTGCTCGACTGCCCATGATCAGGGCCTTTCAGCTAGGAAGGAGTGGGGAGCAGCTGCAACGCTAAAGCTGCTCAGCAGATGCCTACTGGTTGCTGAGGCAATGTCTAATCTGGCTGGGCATTGTTGGATCACTTCCCTATAATTCCAGATCTCCTACTCACGAGGCAGCTTTTGGTAGGGTTGAGCTATGTGGCTGGATGGAGACAAAACACAATTAAAACACAAAGCAATGGACAATAATAAGAACAGTGAAGCCATTGCTTTTATTCACACAAGAAAGGCAAGAAAACGGAACAGTCATGCATAAAGATGACAGCCTCCCATAAAAATAACGGCACAGCCTCAGAGGACTGGGAAGATCCAAGCAAAAAATGTCCAGAATGCATCTGATTGGTTTGACTATTTATTGGTGGCCTTTGCCAATACATTTCCTTGGATATGTCAGCCTTGCTGTTGCAGCCACCAAATTAGGCATGGGGATAGAAGTGAGGGTTTAAAAAGAAAAGAGAAGGTGAGATCTGAGTTTGAAGGCAAAAGCACCATGAAGGAGAGGTGCACAGGAATCCCCTAACCACACATCTCCCTTCAGTCTCTCTCACCAAACACTTTTGTCCCAAGTGATTAAGCTTCTGGGATCAGAGCTTGGCTATGGGGAAAGCATAAGTCTACTTTTTACCTTTGCTATTCAAATTGGACCTCTTTCTAATGCCCCTGTGGGACTAGTCCAAAGCGTTTTACGTCCTGAAGTGGAACAGACCACCCCACAACCAGGTGAATCGGCAGGGCACCCCTTTAGCTTTGGGAGAAAACCCACCTCTTCCCATGGGTACATTTCCTTTTCCAGGGAGTACAAATGAAATAATAAGAATGAATGACCGTATCAAGGATTTGTGTCCTTTCATGACACCCAAATCCACTTGATGGAGCCATCTCACTCTGCTTCATGGTAAGGTCCCCACAAAGTCCCCACCATTCTGTCCAGTTTGTGTCTCTAGTGCAGGGATAGGCAATCTTTCAGGTTTACAGGCACATATATTATTTTTGGCCTGCCCCATGGGCACATTTCTCTGAGATTCTCTCTTTTCTTTCTTCCCTTCACCTATTGTCTATTGTGAGGAACAACGTTACAAGGGGGAAAGACTGGACATATTTGCATTGTCCCGCTGAACTCCTAGCTTTGGGGGATGCCATAAAAAGGCTGAGACCATAAAGAGCTGCCTTACGGTAGCTGTCATCTCTCTGTAGATGGAGATGCCGGAAACATCTGTTCTTCCTCAGGCTGCCTAGGATGATGGCCACACAAGAAAGGAAGAGCACCACTCCGATCACTACCCCAGCCACCAGCACAGAGGAATCCAGCATGCTAGTGTGGCGGACGCCTTCGCCACAGCGAGCACTCTCGGTCTGGTTCAGGCCAATTTCTGCAATGCAGTGAGGGACAAAGAGAGAAAAGACCATTGAGGGAATGCTGTAGAACAGTAGGCAAACCGCCCCCAAACTATTAGATGAGGGTGGTGCGGTCTCTGAAGGACTGGGGCTTGTGCTTGCCTGGGGCCAAGCAGAGCAAAGGCTGCCTGGTTCCAAACTGAAAGCCCACGTTTGGGTGTCTTCCTTGCCCCATCACTATGGCTCGAGGTCTAGTCTTCCGGTATGGCCTGCCTCCAAATAGCTGTCATTGATTAGAACGCCACAGGACCAGGAGGGACCCCTGGGTATGACAGGCTGTCCTACTAGGCACCCCTTAAAGTTATCTGTCTGATGCTTCAGACCTGCATTTTGCAAAGCAACGTAATTATCATTTTATTTATTAGATTTTTATCCCACCCCATTAGCCACTAGAAGATACGTTTGAGCATCCCGTTTTGCAACCGTGCAAATCACTCTGAGCTACCTGCTTCATCTAGGCCATGAAATAAAGCCTGCCAGATGATTTGTAAATTTCTATATGGATATATTTTCCCACTGCAGTACACAGTAGGTAGACAGAAATTCTTTTTACACTATATCCCCACACTAACACAAAAACCTACACAGCAACCATTCCTTTTGCACTCTAAAGGAATCTATTTAAGGAAATTTGAAGTATGTTAATGCATAACAAATCTAGCAGAGCAGTTGAGCACCTCATGCAAAGCAAACAGGATGGCTGACCCCTCTGAAGTAGCCCAGCTCCAGCTTTATTCTCACGCACAGCCCTCAGATAATAGCTTGTGCCTCGTGTGCTGACATCCTTATTAAAGACTCAGAAGGAATCAGATTGGCTCACTGGCAGCCTGCAAATTGGGAATGTCAGAAATAATGTGTGTGTCCCAGCAAAAACGCTCAGGAGATAAATCATTTCAGATGCCCGTGGCTTCAGGGTATTATGTGGATGTCACCAAGGCTTTGTATAGAAGCTCATTCAAATTAGCAGGTAAAAACCCAAGCCACACAAACACTTTCCGATCTTCAGAGACTGTGCCTCTCTTATAACATGATAAATACCACGGTGGCAGATGGAATCTCTTGGGAGGGAGAGCACAGCCCATTATATGATCCTGTACCCTCACCCTCTTTCTCCAGGAGAAAACCATTTTGAAGCAACAGAGCTTTGTTAGCAAAGCTGGGGCTTAAAGTTTTTTTCAGGAACCCTTCCAGCCCTGCAAGAAAGGGTGACGTATGATCCCAGTGGGTATGCTGGGCTAAACTCATTGGCTCTGGTTTGTAATGTCTCATCTGCAGTCAGCTGGTGGTCTCCAGCCCTCCAGATGTTGGAGAGTTCTTGGGCATGTCCCACTCAGTGCCTCCCCCCCGCCCAGCAAGTCTGCCTTCTCACCAACTGCTCTTGCTCCTCATCCTCATTCTCTTTCTCGTCTTTATTGAGACTTGCTTGAGAGGCAGTGAGCCAGTTTGCAGAAGCATCTGCTACTCCACTTCCACCCACCATCACTGTCTCCTGGGCCAGAGCAAAAGGTAGGTGAACAGTCAAGTTACAAGGCTAGCAAAGAGGACCAAGTCCAGGAGGAGGTTCCCAGTGTCCTTTTAACAGAGCCTGGGATGCATGAAGCCATGTAAACAAAAATTCTGCACTGGGTGATGGACCATCAAAAAGCAACACAAGGTAGCAAAACATAGAAATAGAAACTGAGTGAGTCAGAAGGGATCTCCCGGGCCATCTAGTCTGACCCCTGACTCCAGCCAGCTCCGCTCATGACATTCCCACCATGTGCATGTCTAGCCTATCCTTGAACACCTTCACTGATGGGGCCGTAGAAATGGGCCCCATATATTCAGGGGCCATTTCTATAGCCCCTAAATATTTGTAGTTTTGCACAATTTGGGTGGGCAGGGCTTCACTCCCTTCCCAGTTTTCCAAGCAAGATGCTTTACTGAGCACAGATGTTTCACTGAGTTCCCAGTGGACCCAGTGCTTGCTTAGTGAATGCATTCCACTTGCTGGGCTCCCTGGAGCCATGCTGCAAGCGTGCGCAGCTTTGGGCCAAGCGATCCATCACAACGGGGATGCCTGACGTGCCACCAGGCTTTTCTTGGAAAGCGATGAGTGACCCAGGAGGCTGCCCTTGGAGCAGCTTAAGCCTTTCTACTCCAGCTGTTGGTTAGTCAGTATCCATGGGATACCTTCCTGTGCAGTCTGCTCGCCAGTTAGCCTGTATGTCTGCTCTCCTGCTCCACCTGCCAGCTGCCTCAGTGGGGGGTTGTGCGGGAAATAGGAAGACCTGGCATTATTTCCCTAGTGCAGAGAAAAGCAGCCAGGGAGGATGTGCCCTTAGTAGACCAACGGGCAGAGGATGCTTCCCAGCTTCAGGAGACTGATCATGAATGTCAAGTAGCATCTAGCTCAGCTCCTTTCTCCAGGGGCAATTTGTGCCAATGGCTACCAATAGTGGTGAGACCCGACGTTTAGTTGAGCCCTTTCTGAGTGAAGTGCTGCATGTTAGATCCCCTGCAATCTTTCTGAAAATCCCAATTTTCCTTCAGTAACATGCACATTTATTTGAAAAAGACATACTTTGTCAAGTGTTTGGTTAACGCTGAAACTCAGCCACAAACAAGAAATAAAATCTACCTGGAACTTAAAAAAAGCTAAGATGACCGCAAATGGATAAAGGAAGAGTAATATATTAATTTATGACCCTTATCATAATGATTGCTGGTGACATTAGTTAAGGCCTGATTTCCCCTGATGAATGTGTAGTTATAGCCTCATTCGCTCTGATGAATCTGGCACTGAATGACATTTTTACTACTCCGTTGCAGGCAAGATTAATGTCATCAGAGAATAATGAACCTGTTGTAATTTCTTTCACTGCTTTGCTACTATCTTTAAAAGACAGAGGGAGGGAGGGACACTTACTATTTGCTATTTACTAGGCTTTGTAAAAACCCCCCAATATATCCTGGGCTCCTCAATGAAATGCACATGCTGTTCTTTCATTGCATGTTCAGCTGGAAGCTTTCTAGTTGCACAAAAATACCAGTTGCAGCAGATAAGGGAGCGACATTCTCCCTGGCACAGGAGCCATGTTAATTTATTCACCATTTGTTTTTTGTGAATGAAACACATCAGGTCTTTATTGTCCAAACTTCCCTGCAAATCCAGTCTGGATTTGGAGTTTCAAATGGATGGATCGGTGATGCAATGGCTTCCATGCATTTTCTGTAAAATGCAGCCATGGAGAGTGGTCAGCTTGAATTGTGGGTGGGGTGGGAGGGAGGAGGGCTGGAGGTCTCTGGGAAATACTGGGACAGAGACTCGGCGCTCGTGGAGGCTGCTAACTGGCTGCCTCTATTCTCCCTGAATGATGCTAAGACATGGCCTATGAGCACAAGTCTTTTGGGCACGCTGGGCTTCCTCTCTCGGAACACCCCTGGTGGCACAAGGAGGCACTGCTCCAGAAGCCCTCTGTGACCAAATATGAAAGCTGGGAAATGGGGGCGGGGTCTGTATTGCATGGGCTTTGCTGGAAGAATGGGGAGGAGGTTATTAGGGTTGAACTGGTAGTGTAGTGAACTTTCTAAATGTCCAAGAGCCAGGAATGCTTTTTGAGCCACAGGAATGCTCCAGGGCCGTCAGCTTGTTAGGAAGAGCCCCGGTGAGCTGGAGTGATCATTCTCTAGATCAGGCGTCTCCAACTCGCGTCCCGTGGGCCAATTGCCGGGAAGGGCAGGACACGGGGGGGGGGGGGTGCCCGGGCAGGCCTCCAGAAGCGACGCGGGATGAGCAGCCCACCACCGCCGCGGTGGTGGAATACTTGATGAGGCCCAGCCTCACCCAGACTCTACTTCCAGCGGCCCCCAGGTAAGTTGAGTTTGAGACCCCTGCTCTAGATAAAGCCTGCTTTTGGTGTGCAGTCAAGACTGGAGCAGCTTCCTTCCTCTGACTCCCCCACCACACATGTTTCAGGAAGTGGAATTAGATTCTGCATGTACGGACAACTTCTGAAACAGCAGGGGAGAGGACCTTCATAAAATCCATGTCTTAAGGGCATTGTCCTTTCTCCTCAACTTACAGAGAATCATAGAATCATAAACTAGTAGAGTTGGAAGGGGCCAAGAAGGCCATCAGGTCCAATTCCTTGCTCAGTGCGTGATTCCAAGTAATGACTGACACATTGCTCACCCAGACAACTTTGGAAGGCTACAGAATATCCCCCAGCCTATTTATGGAACCAACAAGGCCACAGATAAGGAGAGTGCAAGCTTTGGTTTGCTTGTTTACAGCTTCATCCGCATGTTATCATGGTATTCTGTAAACACAGGTGGGTTGGTTTCTCCCTAAGAACCCTCAGACTGGAAGGCAAGTGCTCTGTCATTGGCCCTGAGGACACATCAGGCCTTGACCTTAAGAAAGGACGAATATATGAGGGAGACTGAAGCCACGTCCACTCCCCCAGAGACCCCACTGAGCATTGGTGGCTTTGCATCTGCTGCACAGTGGCTGCAGGGAGGAGGTCGTTTCCATTTTGTCCTCTGCTTTCCAGAGACCTGATTTGCATCAGTGTTTTCATACAATCACCAGTGATGGGGAAGCAGAGATGCAGCCCATGAACCACAAGTTGTGTACTTCTAGGGCAGTGGTGGCGAACCCATGGCACACGGGCCACAGTGGGCATGCAGAGCCCTCTCTGTCGGCAAGCGAGCCACATCACCCCAGCATCGCCCCAGCAGCCGAGCATCGGAGAACAGCGCACAAAGGGGCCATGTGCATGCTCGGAAAGGAGTTGCGGCACCAGGCAATGATGTCATTTGCTGCGACTCATTAGCCATGACTCATCTGAGCTTTTGCATGGCCGGTCAGTGTGCTGCCAAGGATATATATATATTTGCTTGGACTGGCTGTGAGGTGTTTTTTCTAAACTAAAAGCTCAGTTCTCAGGTTTTATTGTAGTGTTGGCACTTTGCGATAAATAAGTGGGTTTTGGGTTACAGTTTGGGCACTCGGTCTCTCAAAGGTTCGCCATCGCTGCTCTAGGGTATTATGCAGGAAATTCTGAACAGCGACTGGATGGTGGGCCTCCCATGTTCAAACGTAGCATTCTCTGAGTCCTTGTCAGCCTGTCTCCAATGGACCTTGACACTGCAATCGGATTTGGTTTTTTAAAATTGTATTTAAATGTGATTTTAACATTATATGTAAACCACTTAAGGATTTTGTTATACTTAGTGGTGTGTGTATATATGTTTGTATGCATGTATAAAAATAAATAAATAGATTTGTTTCCTCTCCAATCTGCTTCTGGAAGACACACAGCACCTCCTACAAATATTAACTCTTCCCTCACCATGTTGCATACACTTTATGACAAAACTCTCCCAAGAGCTACTTGGATGTTGCTGGGGCAACATCACCTTCTGTCCAGCTCCTGGTATTCTGGGTTGGGTGCCTTCCTTTGATAGTTTCCATGTTGCTTCAGCAAATCTTTGACATAGATCTTACAATTCTGGACAGCTCTCTAGCTTGGTTAGCACAACAAGGAAACCAAGGCTCAAGAACGTTTCAACAATATTGGAAGGCCTGCAGGAAGATGACAGTTCCCAGGGATGATGGATGGGTCACAGAATGATATTCTTCTACCAGTTGAGTCCTGGACCAGTCTGAGAACTTTGCAAACTGTGATCCAATGAACCAGTGGTAATCCAACCAACAGCCTGATATGGTGAGCTATTGGAGTCTATCTAATGGTTCAGCATGGCAGAAGAAGGCGCATAGCTCAGGGATAGAACAGGTGCTTGGCATACCAAAGGTCCCAGGCTCCAACCCCATCTTCTCCACTCCTGCCTGAAACCCTGAAGAGCTGCTGCCAGTCAGTGTTGACAATACCGGCTGGATGGACCATGGGGCTGACTCAGTGGTCTGAGGAAGCTTTGCTATCTTTCCACGGCTCAGCTGCAGTCTTTGTTTCCCCACATATAGAGATTTTCTATAGGAGGTATTTATTGTTCAGTCATCACCCCCTATGCATTTCAGTTTTTAAACAGCACTTTAAGCAATGGTGGGGTGTCGTTAGGGAAAATGAGCTACGAGTGGAAGAAAGCAAGAGAAAACCTATTTCCACTGACATATTCGAACTTTTCTGCTGTACCACAAGGCCAGTTAGAAGTTATATAACAGAAAGGGAAGAAAAGAAATGCTGTTGATGCAGAATTTAGATATCTGTTATGTGATGAATCCAACAGTTGGATTAACAGCCTGGTTAAGCTCATGGACCCCTGCCAGAGAGCTGCTGAGGTCCCTATTACCCTGTGCTGGGAAAAATCTGGCAGCCAGACATTCCCTTGGCCTTGCCCCCTTCCTCCTCCTCTCTGCCTTCTTGCTCCCTTACTTTGATTCAGAAGCATATGTTGTGGGTCCTTGCCGATGCCTGGGCAGGTAGGGGAAGCACAATATTTAATTTTCAACACTGACATGAGAGTCTTTTTACATATTTTTACCATTGGTAGCATCTACAACTGTACATAATTCTTCCATGGCATACTTACCATTGGGTTGTTCTTTTAATGTGGCTGTCTCTATTTTTATTCTAAAAATCACAAACACCAAAAATAGGCAAACCAGCCGTTCTAACAACCTGCTGTACTTCTCGCACGCACGCATGCACGCACGTGTGTGTCGTATCACAGACTCTAACTGTGAAATGTTACCAAGCCAACATTAATTTGGAAATACCTTCGCCAGCAAGTTTGTCACAGCAATCTACATGCTGAAACAAGATCTGCTTAGGGTGTGATCCTGTGAACACTTAGACAGAAAGAGGGCACAGCTGCCTGGGGCTTGGCAGAAGCTGTAGACCCTTTTTCTGTCTGAACTTGCATGGGATGGCCCCTTTGGTCGAAGAAGAGGCAGCTCCCCCTTGATCACAGTTTAGCTCCTGAAGGCTTATGGTTATGGCAGAAAAGTGTGCAATTCTAGGCATGTTTACACAGAAAAAAGTCCTGCACTTCTCCACATTCTCCAACCTGCATCTCCTTTTCCGAACATGCAGAAGACTGTGCCCTTAAGGGGCTTCTGGACAGAGACTTCCTAGATGGAGGGATAACAGTCTGAAGGCACTGTGATCCTTAATACTGAAGGCATCATGATCCTTAATAGACACTTTCTGTTAAGAAAAAGGGTGAGAGAAATGGCAGAAAAACACCGGAGGGCTACAAAATGGATGATTTCCTCTGGAATTTTTACAAAATTAAGAAGAACTAAACAACAATTATTTTCCCAATTGTTAAATTGTATTTCTAACCCTCAATGTGATTTATTTTAAAGGAATTAAATGGAAGGGTAAGGGGTAAGACTGAAATTGCCTTTCCCCTGTCCCCATCCTCTTCTTCCCTTGTTTCCTGGCATTTGTGCATTTCTCCCCATTCTAAAATTTATATCCATGCTAAAAGCTATAAATGCTGTTCCTTAATCACTAGCAGAAAGGCTTTCAAGCTACTGCATGATGGCCTTTCTTTTGGTATTGGATTTGCCCCTTTTGAATTAGATTGCAGCCTCTTGGTCTGCCCCACTGACACTGGAATATGGGCCACTGAGAACTGACCTCAAGTTGACTTTAACCCCCTCTGAATGTACTTGCCAGTGAACGAGTCTCATCGCCCCCACTGGGACGTGTTTCTGAATGGACACACAAGATTGGATTGCAAGGATTCAGTCTTACGCCTCTCAAAGTCCACTGAATTTAGGGAGAGCTCACATATACCCAGATTAGGATGCAAGGCTGCAATCTTACAGATGCTCACCTTGGGGTAGACCCCATGGTGCTGCGTGAGGTTTGCACCTGAGCCAGTTTTCATCAGCCTGAGATGTACAAGGGACAGCATGAGTTCTCTTCCCTGAACAAAAACAAGAGAAAGGCCAAGAGCCTCACAAGAGCGCAGGCAGCATCAAGCACTAGGCAGGCCAGAATACATACAGGTAGATGGCATTTCAGAAGCTGGCTTTGTGGAGTAACGCTGTTAATTTTTTATTACTTTTTATTGTGAATGTCAACTGAAGAAAACCGTAAGTTAAAAAAATAGCAAAAGGAAATACAATTAAAACCAATTGTATTTTTCTTTCTTTTCTTCTTATGGTTCTGTTTTGTTTCACAACAAAATTAGGCCTGTGTTGAAATATATATTTTAGTGAATTAAAAAACAGGAATGGGAAATGATACGGGTAAAGACAGGCAAAAGTGACATGGATTGGAAATAGATGGATCATCCATAAGCAACTGGAAGCCAGCTGACGATGACTCAGAGTTTAAAAAGTCATTACTGAAATGGGATGGAAGGCTTCAGCTTTGCATTTATGGCCACAGAACATCAAATGGACAGGCTGAAAACTATCCATTATCAGAGAGCTGGACTGAGTGAGGCTGGTAGAAATCATGTTACTAGGCTGGTGAGCTGGTTAACCGAGGTGAGCAACTTCTGGTCATGAGGGTGTCTCCATACTTAAGTTTGTAAGCTCCCCCCTTGCTGTGCTGCACTTTTCTTTGCTTGTGAAGCTTTTCCTGAAGAATTCTGAAGGTTGCCATTAGAGGCTGGACAAGAAAATAAGAAATGTTTGCTTATTGAATTTGTTGTTTTTGCCTTAGACAAGAAGTGTTTGCCCCAAACCAAAAAGTACTCACTTTGCTAAGAAAGCTATACTAGTAACTAGAATCATGCGACATCTTGTTTACCTCATGCTATACAAAAGAGGAACCGAGAGTAGCTTGGGGCCTCAGCTTGGAAAAATCCACTGTGTACCATTTATTTTGCAAAAGAAATTTTGAACTTCACAACGCCTGTCATGTTTTCACAGCACACCAGCCTCAAACCAACCCAGATTTGGACAACACTGGGAGTTAGGAGCTGCCTCGCTGCATCCCAAGAAGGGGAGCATGCGCCTTCTTTCCCAGCAGAATTGGGCTCCCTGCATCCCACCTGACAGCTGTTTGGAAGCCCTGTTCTTCAGAGAGAGAACATGCAACACAGAGACTGCCCCACGTGCCATGTTCCTCTGCCAAAACTGCTGGGAGATGGCATGTCATAAGCACCAGCCCTGGTCCCCACCAAACAAATGGTGACTTGTTGGTAGCTAGATTTTCCTGGGAGACAAGACATGTGCTTTCCCCCACACCTTGTTTCTCAGCAGAATTCCAGGCTTGTGGCCTGCAAAGGTTGCCTGCCCCAGCTGTACATCAACCAGCAGGGCAGCAAAGAGTTAATTCAGCATTTACTCAAGAGCCAACTGCTGCAACTTGTGTTTCTCCCTCCAAGCAATATCAGTCTCACCGGTGTTTCTTTGCTTGATGATCTTTATTGTCACGCACAAGTCTCTGAGTGTAAGTGGAGTGTTGAACCCCATCTACTGTTCCTTTCCCAAAACTCTCCTTGTGAGCCCTTCTGTGTCTCAGCCCTGTAGGAGGTGCACTGTGGAAACAGACATGCCTCTGCTGCTCCTGTTGTGCCTCTAATTGGGCTTCCCTGTGGTGTTGGTGGCAAGACACCAGCTCTGCCTCCCCGAGGGGCGAGGGCCCTCCACTGGAGAAACGTCCCATGCCAGTGTCTCCTCCCTCCCTCCAGTGCATTTTGTGCTTTGGCACGCATTCCAGATTTTTATTTCCTCCCGCTGAGCTGCCCCATGTAAAGAAGCATTGCATTTATTTCCATTAGCTAAGAGATTGCTTTTGATGAATATTACATGGGTTAAATGAAGGGGGGAAAGAGGAGAAAGAAAAATAAGGCTGTAGCAGGCATTTTATGACTGAGATGAGGATGGTCATTTGGCATTAGCATCCAGAGTGTTCGCTTTATTTTTCACACACTAGTTTTCATCTTGGTCTCTGTTTATAGTAAAGTTTTGGTTGGTAGGTGCAAATCCATAATATAGCAAAACTGTATCTAATATTGCTTTGAGTTCTACCCTAAAGACATTTCTCCTTTCACTGAGCTTTCGAGGTTAAGGGTTTATGCCTGCCCTTTTCATTTATTCATTTTCATCACCAGACAACCCATATAGCTTTCATTTCGCTCGATCCAAACCATTTTCCATTTGTCCTGGGCCCAGTCTCTTGGGGGAGCGCAAGCCCCAGTGAAATGGGTTAGGGTGGCACAAGGACATAACAAGCTCTTCCCAGTGTTCGTGCTCCTCTATCAGCAAAGCCAATTTTTGAGTTCTGTATTATTTATGATTTCATTTATTTATAACATTTCTGAACTGCTGTTTTCTCTCCTGCAAAGAGCCCAGGATGGCTTGCATAACCCTCCTCCCCTTTCCATTGTATTCTCATGACTGTCCCACCTTTCTTGGTGCAGGACTAGGGCACCCTTGGCACAGAAACCTGCCTACCTACCTCCGCTTCTGTCCCCTGCCCCACACTCTCTTGGAGTGACAAGCTTGGCGAAAGCACAAAAGAAGCTGTCTCTACTCCATCCCATGTTACTCTGCTTGAGAGACGCAGCCAGGGTGGTGTAGTGGTTAGACTGGTGGACTGGGACTCAGGAGATCTGGGTTCTAGCCCCCATGAAGTTCACTGGGTGACTTTGGTGGACCACTCACTTACTCTCAAACAACCCTTTACGGAGCTACTGGGTGTAATTTTGGGTTTTATTTTATTCTCTACTGTAGTTTTAAATGTTTATATTGGATTCTATCATACCGCATTTAATGGTTTTAATTATTGTAACTGCCCACAGAGCTTCAGCTATTGGGTAGTCCAGAAACATAATGAATGAATGGATCAATAAATTAATCAATCATTATGAATACTATCATTATTATTCTAACACATTATACTAAAATGTAATCAAATTATTATTAATAATAATAATATTAATATTATTATTATATACTGTGGTAAGAAATGCAATCAGTCCAACATTATTGCTACTATTATACACTCCTGTTGTACAACAATAAGATTTTCTATATGTGGTGCATTATTAATATTGGAAAGCATTATTGTTGTTGTTGTCATTATTATTATTATTATTAGTAGGAGGAGGAGGAGTGACTGTTGCAGCTTGCAGTGATGCAGTCCATTCCATTTCTTTTTGTTGCACCGCAACTGGCTTGGTGAGCTGAGATCCAGCTCTCACCAGTCCAAGCCTAACCATCTGTCCACTGCTCAGAAGTGCCTCCCCCAGAAAAAAACACAGCTCAGAAATTCTTCTGGCACTTGGGATGAATTCTGATTGCTTGCTTCATAAGTTGCCATTCTCTGCACTGCTTGCTTTGCTTTCCAAGGCATCCAGAACCCTTTGCTTCCTTCAGAGGGAGACCTTTCACAGCACCGTTTTCTGGAATACCCCTGACTTGTAATTAACTATCTTTCCTGACCATCTACATGCTCACTGATCTTATCTTTTAATTAAGCATTTGACTGCAAAGTTGAGGTTGAAATTGCACTTGAGCAAGGAGCACAGGGATGGGAAGGCAATTCTTAGGGGGACTCCATGGCTCCAATCAGGAGGAGGAAGAAGCCAGCCAAGACCCCAAGGAGCTCAAAATGAACGAGTCAAGGTCATGAGATTTGTTCATATAGGATTAGGAATGACAAGTGGAGCAATTTCTACGATGAGATATAGCGATGGTCACTCACATATAAAGGTGCAGTGATGGCTGTAGTTAAACTATGGAATTTGCTACCATAAGATGTAATGATGGCTTTCAAAAAGCATCAGACTAATTCATAGATAAGACAAACAATAGCTATGAGTCCTGCTGGCTATATCTAACCTTTGTATCAGAGGCAGTATGCCTGTGTATTCCAGCTATGGAAGGCAAGCTGAAGGCTGATGTCCTTCTTCGGGGGTTTCCATCAGCAACTGTTCAGCCACTGCTGGAATGGAACTCTGGATGAGATGGACCTGTGGCCTGATCTGTCAGGGCTCTTCTGAGGTTTATGGTTCCTGGAGTGGGGGTGAATGGGAGAAAGGGTTTTGTGCCTTGGCACTGGATAGACAGCACATTGGCTACAGGCCTCTGGCAAGAAGCAACATGTTCTGAATCTCCCCAGTGGCACAGACAACATTTCAGAAATACAAAGGTGAAAGGGAGATGAGTCAGCTCAAGAACTCAAGTTCTGCCCACTGAAAATATCTATTGGAAACACAGAACCCCCCAGTGATTCTCGTTAGCAGAACTATCAGTTTAGCAGCTGGTTCTAGTTCTGCTTATCATGAAATTGCTGGCATTTTCAGCTTGCTGTCATTCGAAGGAGAAAAACTTCATTTCTGACACTGAAAAAGCACCTGTTACAGCAGAAAGAGTGGAAGGACTGGTAGGCATGTAAGAAATCCAAACTTTAGTTGTCTTTTGCTGAGGATTTTTAAAAACAAAATCTACATTCTAAATGAAAGGGAAAGGAAAGCAATGCCAATATTCAGCCAAGAAAGCAAAAGGACCAAATAATTTCAAAGTGATGCTAGATGGAATGCACAATGAATTCAGTGTTTATGGTAATTTCACAGATATTTCTTCCTTTAAGTACACAATGCGAAATGCTCTCCTGTTTCAATGAGGAGCTTTTGCAGAGTTCTTATTCCCAAAAGGCAAGTCTCAAAGAATTTATTGAACTAAAAGTCTCTTGATGAGATAGTGATAGCTTAAGTTCTGTTTCTGTTACCATGGAGCACAGGGTGAGGCACTGGGGGAAGCAATGCCTACTGGCTCTCATGGGGAGCAGGCCTTCTAGCTATTTGGATCTGTAAGTAAGGCAACCGGAGAGCTTTGTTAGGGGTCAAGGAGATCGCCACCTGTCCTGCCGTGGTCTGTTGATGAAAGGAGACTACCTAATCTGATAGGCTGATCACTCTGCAGCACCCTGTATTGGCTGATGTAGGTGATTGGACAAATGTGTGAG